ACCACACTCTCCCAAGTGAGCCACGGGCTGGCCCTTCTTTTCACTTTCTTAATGGTGTCCTGTGAAGCACAAAAGTTTTTAATTTTGACGTTTGAGATATCTAATTTTTTCTTCTTGAATGTGCTGCTGATATGACACCTAGGGAACCATTAGGTCAAATAACCTGAGGTCATTTTGCAGAGATACAGAGCTCTGCTGGCCATACGGAGCAGGGCCTGGGCCTGGCCCTGCCAGAGAACTGAGCAGAGTGGCCTTGGGTCTTGGATCCCAGATCCCATGGACTGGGGTAGAGTCCCAGCTCTGCTGGCTGACCTGGTCAACTTAACCTCCTTGAGTTTTCTCTGCCAAATAGGATCATAGTAATCCTTCCCTCAGAGGGAAGCTGGGAGGCTGAATGACGAGATCCTGGTCTGGGGCTAGCGCCGCTGCGTCTCCATCGTCACCATCCCCCTCTGAGCTCTCTGGGCACTTTCTCCCTAGGGGCCTCTGAGCAGGCCGTTGTCTCCTCCCTGGGGTCTAGTTACATGAGGGTGCAGGCTCTGGCAGCCTCCGTGGAAAGCAGAGTCAAGCTGGCTGGTGCCAGGCCCTCATCCCAGAGCTGCTGGGGTGCAGGAAAGTGTCCCCCCACCCCCCACCTCCAGCAAAGGCCCCATTGAGCTTTTCTGCGAGCGGCCTTCTGCTACCGTGCTCTCCCCAGACAGCTGTCCCTTTGCTGCCTGGCCTTGGTGGTTGCTGGGCACAACCCCAGAGCGACACGGTACTGGAGTTCTCATTTTGCACCCCAGTGACACATGAATAACTATTACCTGTCCCTTGCTGCCCCCGTGCACCAGGCACCGTGCCCCATGAGGTGGGCGCTGTGTCATTTCCAGTCTGTCCGGAGGGTCTCCAGGCTGTGGTGCTTTGCCTTCCCAGTCACGCAGGCAGTGGATTTCAACCAGCTCTTTCTTTTTTTTTTTTTTTTTCCTTTTTGTCTTTTTTCGTGTCCGGCAACGGATCGCAA